GATATCCAAAGCATGTCAAGTCCCACTTCAACTCTCCTTAACAGCTCATCTGGAGGAGAGTGTGTGTATACAAACAAAACAGACTTGTTTTAACCACAAAGGGTCATGTATATAAGATACACAAAGTGTCATGTATATAAGATACACAAAGGGTCATGCATAAAGGACAAAACAGGTGGCCTGTATGTTACCACAGGGAGCCCAGTATCCACATCTAAGTGTGAGTACCAGAGAGTGTGGGTACCAGCTAAGACAGTCAGTACCATAGAATCAGTCCTGATCTGTGGTCAGTCAACAGGAAGCTGGGATCTAGAATCAGGAGTCAAACTTTATATATTATACAGACAGACAGGGCCGACTCCCCATGACTCCCCAGGGAGACAGTCAGTACCATAGAATCAGTCCTGATCTGTGGTCAGTCAACAGTAAGCTGGGATCTAGAGTCAGGAGTCAAACTTTATATATTATACAGATAGACAGGACTGACTCCCCATGACTCCCCAGGGAGACTGACAGACACCAGGCTTACATTCTATCTACTCATCTACATTACCCTATGTTCTGGGTCACTTAAAATCTTTGAAATACTTTACAATAGAGGAAGTGGCCAGGATCTATCCTAAGTTGTGGCCCACTGTTTCATTTTAATACAAGTTACCCTATATTCTGGGTCACTAAAAATCTTTTAAATATATTTTAACAGAAGAAGTGGCTACAATCTATACCAAGTTGTTCCATGTTTTTCATTTACAACAGCTCCTAGATTATCAGAAGGCAGCTGTGTTCTGAAGCTTCCCCAGTGGTTATTAGTGTGTAGTACACTAATAAGTTTCATACACCTCCATATGGCTCTTAGTTTACACTAAGATATATATACCATTTATTATCTAAAATCGGTGCTTCCTTCTTCAGTAAGACAACTGATCAATGTCAATAACAGGAATAGAACTGTAATGGTCAAGAAACATTAGTACAACTCTGGAATATTCTACTACAAACACCAGTAACAAGTCATTAGTACAACTCTGGAATATTCTACTACAAACACGAGTAACAAGTAATTAGTACAACTCTGGAATATTCTACTACAAACACCAGTAACATGTAATTAGTACAACTCTGGAATAGTCTATTACAAACACCTGTAACAAGTAATTCGTACAACTCTGGAATATTCTACTAAAAACACCAGTACAAGTAATTAGTACAACTCTGGAATAGTCTATTACAAACACCTGTAACAAGTAATTCGTACAACTCTGGAATATTCTACTAAAAACACCAGTAACAAGTAATTAGTACAACTCTGGAATATTCTACTACAAACACCAGTAACATGTAATTAGTACAACTCTGGAATAGTCTATTACAAACACCTGTAACAAGTAATTCGTACAAAACCTATATATATCAACAGACTAAAATAATGAGAATATTGAATATATATTGCAAACCACAAGCGTGTTTTTTCTACCTCAATTTTACAATTGCCTATTTGAGCATGAATTTTTAAAATAAAGCATTATTTTTGTTTAAAGTGGGCAGATATTCCTCATATTTGTCCATTTTGGGAAAATAAAGCAATTTTTGCCTGAGAAAGCTGCTTCAGTATTCAGCTGTAAAGCTAGATAAAACAAAAATAACCGACAAGAAAACTTCAACAATAGGCCAAGAGGGTCTGTATCGCTCAACTGAATATCTAAGCAATCATGGCAAAATATTCTCCAAATGAGATCCAAGTAAATATGCCAGACCCCAAGGCCAATCCTTATAGCATATCTGTATTAGATTTTTCATGCCCAGCAATTTTAGGTATGGTTATGGGGTGGGGATCTCAACTGTTTCCAAGCTGTGACTCAGAAACTAGGTCCCTAGGGTTGTGGCCAGACCCTAGGATCAATTATAATATCATGACTGCATTTGTCTCTTTTTGCCCAGCATTTGTATATATAGTTTTGGGGTGGGGATCTTGACCGTTTCAAAGTTATGACCCAGGGGTTAAGTCTGCAAGGGTAGGGCAGACCCTGGGGTCAATTCTAATATAATGACTGTATTCGTCTCTTTATGCCCAACAATTGTATATATAGTCTTGGGGTGGGGATCTCGACCATTTCAAAGTTAGGCCAAATATAATAATATGTGTGTTTCCGGTTCCCCGACCTACCTGGAAAAAATGTGCCCGACCTGAAACGTCTTTGCGGAAACGAAGCACCTTGCGTCGTTTCCAAACAAGACCCCGCTTTTGGATGTTTATGGGACATACCACCCAACAGACCTAAAAGGTTATACAACTGCCATAAAGTGTTCAGCAAACACTGAATTGTTTGATGTTGATGGAAATTTAAACGTCAGCGATATCGCCAAGGGTTTTGGTATGCGAGTACTGCTTTTTTCATGCTCAAAACAGTCTTGTTTAACATATACTATTAAAGTTGACAATGTGATAGGTTTACGTGGGCCTCTCTAACTATATAATGCACCATGTGAAATAATATATATATATGTGTTTGGCAATGGTATAATTATCATGTTTTTGATTTTGAATTTGGAAACATTCTTTAAAATGCTGCAAATAAATGATAATATTAAAAGTAATGGTGCTTTATATACTTATGCATGTTTGTACTTTCGAATAAGAATACATCCTCTGAAATGCTGAAAATAAACACACTGCCACTGGGTACATGATCAATTGACATTGAATCGGTTACAAGTATAACATTTGAAAAAGAAATAAAATGTTTTGATAAAATAAAATGTTTTGCCTACCTACCTACCTGGATTCAAATTTCGAGGGAATAGGAAACACACATATTATTTTATTTGGCCTTATGACCCAGGGGTTAAGTCTGCAAGGGTAGGGCAGACCCTGGGGTCAATTATAATATCATGACTGCATTCGTCTCTATGCCCAACAATTGTATATATAGTTTTGGGGTGGGGATCTTAACCATTTCAAAGTTATGACCCAGGGGTTAAATCTCCAAGGATGTGGCAGTCCCCAAGGCCATCCTGGAAGAATATGTGCATTCGTCTCTTTATACTCAGCAATTGTATATATGGTTATAGGGTGGAGATCTCAACTGTTTCCAAGCTGTGACTAAGAAACTAGGTCCCTAGGGGTTCGGTCAGACCCCAGGGTCTATTCTAATATAATAACTGCATTCGTCTCTTTATGCCCAGCATTTGTATATATAGTTTTGGGGTGGGGATCTTAACCATTTCAAAGGTATGACCCAGGGGTTAAATCTCCAAGAATCTGGCAGTCCCCAAGGCCATCCCGGAAGAATATGTGCATTCGTCTCTTTATACTCAGCAATTGTATATATGGTTATATGGTGGGGATCTCAACCATTTCCAAGTAATAAACTTTGTTTGGCCCCACCCCTTAGCCCGGGGGGTCAGCCCCACCATTTGTACAATTTTGAATCCCCACCACCTGGGGATGCTTCCAGTCAAATATGATTGATATCCATCTCTTAGTTCTACAGAAGAAGTCGTTTGTAACAATATAGCCAATTTGTCTCCTTTTGACCCTCCCCTCAGCCCCCTGGGGGGTCAGCCTAACCATTTGTACAATTTTGAATCTCCACCACCTAGGGATGCTTCCAGTCAAATATGGTTGATATCCATCTCTTAGTTCCAGAGGAGAAGTTGCTTTAAGCAATATAGCCAAATTGCCCCCTTTTTGCCCCGCCCCTCAGCCCCCTGGGGGGTCAGCCCCACCATTTTTACAATTTTGAATACCCACCACCTAGGGATGCTTCCAGTCAAATTTAGTCCTTCGGACCAGGTGAGCTAATAATTTGAGATTATTATATGAACATTTTGATATCACACCTCTTATCAGCCGGAGAGTCCTGATTGGGGGTGTGATATCAAAATGGTCAAATCATCAACTTTTTATCATGTTTTTTTTCCTTTAAAATAAACAAAACATACAGTCAATAGACTCTGGAGATCTCCACTCATTTTGAGACATCAGATAATCCGTTAATATTTTGATGTCTGATTGCATTTTTCTCGCAGTGTTCTTGTTTCTCATGCTTTCCACGACAGCATCGGTATCATTAGCATTATTGAATCGTTCCCCTGCATCTATAACATGTTTCGTCTCCTTTTCCATTTGTTCGTTGTCGATTAATTCGTCTAATTCAACTATCATTGCTGCCAGTTCCTCCAAAATCTCTTCGCCAGTCACCATCGTTGTTTAAGCAAAACCAAATCCGGAAGCTTTGCCATCAATAAATTTGGGTGGGGCTTTGTAAATCAATCTTTAAATTATTTTCCATGAAACTGCAGTTATTCCACGCCAACAATTCGTTTGTTTACATTAAAAGCAGACAGCAATAAGCGGAAGCGACAAAATCCGGAAATTTGGGAGGGGGTGTGATATCACTTTCAAGAGATTGTGATATCACTCCAAAGGGGTGTGATATCACCCGGGCTGATATCTACTTGTGGAAATTTAGACTTATTACATATATATATACAAAAAGGGGGTTATTATTAGTAAACATATGATAAAGCAATTTATATCATGGTATGTGTCACACTGATGATAACACCGTCTTTGTTTATCCAACATTTTCATCAGACTTAGCGATACATTATCAGTATATGTACAAACACACAATACAACAACTGTATTCATGAACAAACTGTTTACATTGTGTTCTGTGTGCAGGTTTAAACTTTACCAACTACTAGTGATATCAAACACGTACAGCTGGGCAGGGGAATCCCCAGTACTTATCATCAAATGTTCTTTTAACGCATTTACGTATACTATTAAAAGGAAATGTTCACCATCTTTTATTCTTGCACCTTTTTGCCCCTGAACAAGAAGACAAATGTAACATGGTGAAAAATATTATGGTCAGTTATAATTACAATACTGCTATGTTTATTAGCAAATTTGCCAGAAGGTGATTTTTTTTATTATGAAATATAACTCCAGTAACAGCTTCTATCAAATAGAATTGGTCTGCATTATTTACCTGCAATTTTTGACTTTCTTCAAACTCAAAGGCACTTGGTCTGCCCTCTAGTGTACTGAAGGGGACACTAGCTCCAGTGAGTGGTGAGATGTCACTGTAATAATCAGTACAGATCGCCTGGTCCTCATTCTCATAGGTAATCACAGTCTTGCGTGGTAAGTTGTATGTGCTGTAGCAGGAAGCACTATAAAACTGGTACGGGGTCCAGTTACTTTTCTTGGAGGTACGTTTGTAAATAGCAAAGCTCTCTGGTCGTGGGGAGTGGAAACGCAGCCTCACGTAGGTAATGTCATAGGCCTTTTCTGAAATGAAAATATAGACATGAACAAAAGTAGTGAAGGAAAGGACATAAGTGATTATTACGAGATGTCAGTCTTAAACTTTCTAAAATTTAACCTGAACGAAAGTATTAAAGGTGATGACACCTGACTCTGTCAGTCTGAAACTTTCCAAAGTTTAACCAGAACAGAAGTATTAAAGGTGATGACACCTGACTCTATGTCAGTCTGAAACTTTCCAAAGGTTAACCAGAACAGAAGTATTAAAGGTGATGACACCTGACTCTATGTCAGTCTGAAACTTTCCAAAGTTTTGATGACTCATCAACCTTTTCTGTAAATCTATCACAATCAATTTTTATTTAAACCATGGGAAAGAATTAAATATTGGCACTTAGTAACAGAACATATCCTACAAGACAGAGATAATGTTACATTGAGGGTGCAGGTTAATGAGAAGAAATAAGTAATTGTAAACACATATGACTGGTCAAGGAGTCAGGATATACAAGTTATGCTTGTCTCTTCAAATAAGTTGTACTTCATTTGGTTACAATGTTTTATGATGCAATCCTACTATTTGACAGTCTGTAAAACACTGTATTTTTAACATTAATCCTAACACTATCTGCACCAGACACAACCATCTGTAACAATAGTGCACACTGGCAGTGTTCCATACCAGTGCTAGCAGTACATGGGAGGCCCCCAGTCTACTGGTGACAGGCCTAGGTATATAACACAGATAAAACCTAGTTCATGATTCATTTAATTCCCTTGAACCTGAAATTTCATTACTATACATACAAGTACAGCTAAGCTTAAACTCAAGTTTTAATTGATATGTTTTAATCTTTACATGTATAGACTGTAAAGATGTTTTATTTCGTTTCCACTCTGTACAAATGTTTCATTTTATATGAAGTCTGCACATGTTTATTATAAAGTTTTACTTTATGGCCACCAGTAACCTGTTCCCATGTTGAAATCTTAAATGAGTTTAATGTCTACCTAAACCTTCTATGATTCTGTGTCTACCTTTATCTCAATCATCTCTTCCAACACTTGAACCAGTGCCCATGTCTGACATATCAAAGCAATCAGGGCCATGACATACTAACAATGTGTTATTGGCCGATATATCAATATACCTGTTAATGTGGTCGGATATACAATGTAGGGTACAATTACTTGTACCATAGTGTATAGTGTATAACAGTACTTGTAACAATTAGTTGCAATTTAAACAATCACCAATTTGACTCGTAATATTGTCAACAGTGGAAATCATCTCAACTTCAATGTCATTCCTAAGTACAGTTTTTATTTACTCCAGCTTAACACAGGCCTTTTTGCAGGTTGTGTTGAGTCAGTTTAGAGAAACATCCTTGGTATACTTACTTCAGTAACCTTTGGATGTATGCAGTGTTTATTGGACAAATCAGCTGGTCAACCCAGAAGTGACCACACCTTGTTCAGAACATATCTACATGAACCTATACATAGCCAGCAGCTGTAGCCATCAGTGTGTAATGTGTGGGTATTTACATAGAGATAGGAGGCTGCCAGCTGGCTGTCAGTACATAGCTCTCTCATCATCACACCCTCACAAGAGAAGCTCCAGTGGCAAACCAGTACTCCTGGACTGGTCACACCAACCTTATACAGTCCTCCTGGACTGGTCACACCAACCTTATAGTACTCCTGGACTGGTCACACCAACCTTATAGTGCTCCTGGACTGGTCACACCAACCTTATAATCATGTCTCCTTGGTCACTCATTCATCATGCAGCCTACACAGCTTTGCATTTGATCAATTTTTATCTAATACTTTCCTAACTGTAACTAGGTAGATGATATCACTAATACTTTCCTAACTGTAACTAGGTAGATGATACCACTAATACTTTCCTAACTGTAACTAGGTAGATGATA